CGCGATCATATATTCCAACACTGCCCGGTTCGTTGGAGCTCCACCCGTGATATGAAAAACACTAGTGAACTGCATAGCACCAATACGCGTTTTTCACAGAGTATTACGTCACTTCACGTAAAACGAGTGAAACTCCATTGATTCTTACCATCCGTATTATTCTCGTTCTCTTGTGCTATATGCCGCCTGAATATAACGACTCGCTGCAATCTTAGATCTGCCTCCGAGGAGTCTGGAAATAATGAACGATTGACAACCAGGAGGACTACGAGAAGTAGCTGAGAAATTTTGTTAAGAAATTGCAGTTGATTTTTTTGGTGGCATCTGGTAGGGTTGGCGAAGACAGGAAGCGAGGATAAACATATGGAAACTACTTTGCTCGAGAGCACTATATTGAGGATCGGTTCGCTGCTGCGGGTCAGAGTTTATTCATCTTGAAAACGCCATCACTTTAAACACTATTCGGCGATGTGATCTCGTGTGGCTTCACCAGGAGTTATTTTCTGTGAGAATACACGTGTTGGTGATAGTATGGAAATTATGAGAGAATTTTGGGAGATATCTGTTGATTTTTCGGTATACTCCTAACTGAACTCGCATGATATCAGTGAGGAAACTCCAGAGTCCCGCCGAGAACTGCGAGCTGGGGATTCACTTTTCTCAGCTGAGCTCAGGAGTTTCCTTTTTAGTAAGAATTAGGGTGGGAGTGTTCAGGAACAAGCTCCATCTTGTCATCAACTATGTGCATATTTTCCCGTATCGTGCCAGGTTGGATTCGGGCAAGCGGGCGCGCAGATCATCTGCAACAACATGAGTCAAGACAGTGGCAATTCAAGCGGTTTGAATATGATGTTGCCCGGCCGCCGAGTGAGATTGTTATTAACTCGCCCATTCATTGGTCTCCTTGACGAATTTTGTGAAGTGCGAGAAGAACACGGATAGAAAACGATTATGAAATTTGTGACTTTCGCATAGTGGCAGTTGTCATTCAAGCGGGTTGAATATGATGTTGCCGGGCCGGCCGGTGAGATTAATTACTTGCGCACTCATTGTTCTCCTCAGCAGTGTTTTATGTTAGTGTTAATTTTCAATGTACATACAATGGAGTTTCACTCGTTTTACGTGAAGTAGCGTAAAACTCGGTGAAAAACGAAAATGCAGTAGTCGTGAAATATGTTTTTTCATATCACTAGGGTAGAATTCCAATAGACAAATTTTCCGAAGCGAGAGAAACTTGGGAAATGATGAGGTCGGAAGTCAACTATCCAGGAAATACTATGAGAATGCAGCGCCGTAGAATTCGTTCTTATATAGCGATCTTCGCAGGTGGAAGGGGTCTACGCTTACTGTGACATACGGCAATTCGATGATACGGCGAAGTGCCTTCTCGAGGAAGTAGGAGCCGAATTAGGCGCATTTGATACTATGCAAATGTGAAGAATGTGCGTTTTCTATTCCGGGATTAATGATAGTGAACAACTTGTCGCTATCATAGTCTCGAAAGGTTACTTTTATCACATCACATGTTCATAGCAATGTTTACATTGTTTATGCGATATAGTTTCAGATCGATTCTTATTAATCTCGGAAAATACCACACATTTGCATCATATCAAATTGACACACACTGTATGCTAATTTCAAGCAGGTGATGGTATTCGTAAATAAAATCGCAAGAATAGTTCACAACTGCGCGGACGAATGGCGAGGCGCCGCCAACAAGAATCTCGGCGACAGTTTTTTGCTCACGTGGTTGTTACCACCGATGGAACATTCTGAGGTCGTTGCTGAGGCAAGGCGCGGGTTGGGGCAGTGTTGGAATATATGTTTGGCTCCCTCAGCTGATAATATTATATTGATAGTGAATAGATCATCAATTCGGTTTTATCTGATATTACCAAATATAGTATAATATATTCATAAGGTGGAACAAGAGGTGTTCCTGGGCCGGTCTGCCTGTGGAATTAGTGTTATTGACAAGAGTTTAAGAAAAAGCTGAAAACCACTAAAAGCTCAGCCTCAGCTGAGCTCGTAAGTTTCCTCACTACGTTATGTAAATCCACACATGATTTTGGATAACCATTACTTACCAATATTTCCTTAGAATTTCCTCATTTTTACCAACACATGTAGTTGACCATGTGTATATATTACCATACTGGGTTGGAGACATTCAAAAATGAGCTTTGTGTCAGACCGTCTCTGCTGCAGCTTCTAGAAGAATATCATCAGCGTCGATTCGCCGTAGGTGTTTTTTATTTTTTTTGACGTTGATCCTGTTGTAAAGTCCTGAGCTCGATTTTAGAGCAGGGAATGATATTCCTGTTCTGAAGAGGAATTCATCGGGAGTTCTCCACACAGTTCACTGTGAATTTGCGATGTAAATCATTTACATGTACATTTACATTTGCGATGTAAATCATTTACAGAGAAATACGTCCCTAATGTGATGACATTTACAGTAAATGTCATCACATTAGGAACGTATTTCTCACTGTTATGAAACCCTCGAGTCGATGGAGTTTCACCACCCTCGTGATATGAAAAACACAATCTATTTAACGACTACTGCATATCACCGCGAATATCGCGTTTTTCACAGAGTATTACGCCACTTCACGTAAAACGGGTGGTGAAACTCCATTGTTTTCAAGGCGCACATTTGCACTGTTTGATTATCCTTCCTCAGCACTAACAGCGAACACGCCTAGACCGACTCCCGGCAATGTGAGGTGAGATGCTATCGAGAATTCAGTATAGTGCTTTACATGAATAACAGAGATCAGCGTTTTGGAAGGGAAATATCGGAAAAATTTTCCGGAAAATTTACCTATTTAGTGCGTATTACTTCTCGCAGATGACGTGTGAAAAATTTCACAAGTTTTACGCGTTTTCGTCGGTTCAATGCATTTTTTATGAAGAGACTTTTTTCACCAGTGTTTTTCATACGAATTTAATATTTTCCCGAAAATTCATCTTCATTTTCCCCGTAATATTATGAAAATGTCATATATTCTCAACTACGCCATTGAGTGAATCATCCAATCGTTACCGGTTGCTCTACTCGCTAATGATGCGAGGCGTTGCTAATCTCAGTATGCCAAGAAAAATATCGTTTTTCATATCTCAATTAAATATTTTTGCAAATAAATTCTTCCTGTAATATTACGAAATTTTTCTGTTTGTTCTTTACCACTTCATAGAGGAAATTATTGAATTATTATCGACTCCTTTACTCTGTTTATTCTCTCTGGTGCTGCAAGGCGTTGCCAATCTCAGTATGCCAAGAAAAATATCGTTTTTCATATCACAATTGAATATTTTTCGCAAAAAAATCTTCCTGTAATATTACGAAAATTATTTCTCTGTTCATTACCACTTCATAGAGGAAATTATTGAATTAGTATCGATTGATAAACTCCGGTTGTTTTTAGTATGCCGCGGAAGATATCAGTTGTTCGTCTTAAAGAAATCAACAACGAGAGGGAGAAAGCGAAGAAAGAACTGACGGAAAGAGCTCTGCTGGGCTGCATAAAAATTATCGCTGAGATTCGTCGAGCTGGAGATCTGAAAGCTTATGCTAAACACCCAAAACTGATACCAAAATTTGGTCTATCGTACCAAGTGGACGTCGGCATCGCTTTGCATAGTGGTTGGAGCGTCGAAGGTGATTCGATTTTGTGTGGAAGAAAAAAACTGACGGGAATTTTCACAGGTGCGATTGGAAGCGAAATGAAGATCGACGCAACCTATATCGGGTTTAATGTTAGTGTTGCTCGGTCGTTGGTAAGCAGTGTGGGAAAATATGAAAAAATTTTGTGGAATTTTTTTGGTAAAATCTGGTCGGTTTTTGTATATTTTTATCACCCCAAGCTGTGTGTTTTTATGATGTTGAGATGAAACTGTTTGAGCTCAGCTGAGGAATCTAAACGCGTTTGATCAACTTGTCGCTATCATAGTCTCGAAAGGTTACTTTTATCACCCCACATGTTCATAGCACTGTTCATGCGATATAGTTACAGATCGATTCCTATTAATCTCGGAAAATAACTGCGAATGGCCCTTTATCCTTGATTCACGGCAATTCTCGATGTCACATCATCATTTCTCAGTTGAAAGCCCTACCACTCTACGGTTGCAGTCTACTTCTGACGGAGTCTGTCGTTGAGAATCTCGGCAACAAGACAAGAGACAGATGTCGGCTCATTGATGAGGTAAGCCCGAGAGGGAGCGTGTAGTGAAATTAATTAGAACTCGAGTATACTTAGTGTGGATAGAAGTAATAAACTTTATGAAAACAGCTTACATAGCAAATCTCGTGTAGACGTGCTCTAGCGTCAGCTACAGTACCAGTCGTCTAGGGAGGAGGAATAGGCGTGCAAGCGTAAATTTTTTAAAAATGAGAGTTTCAAGTTAATTTTTTCTTCTAAATGGCCCTGATATATATATCTACAATGTACTTGCAATGGATCCATCTGTAGATTAGAATAGGAGACATGTATTTGTGACACGGGGACAATCGCTATACCGTAAATTGGGTGGTG